GGCGCAATTTCATTCGTTCATATGTGAATACCCAGTTTTCTCAACACCATTTGTTGAAGAGGCTATACTTTTCCTTCATTACCTTTTTCCCATACCTTTTTTCTGTGAGGTTTTATGATTGAGCTTGGTTTATGGGAGCCAAAAGTACCAACTCCATTATTTCATTTTTCAAAATGTAAGAGTCAACTTAGAGCAAGATACCCCCTTTTGGAAAGGACAAGTTTAAGAAGATCTCTGAATGTCAGATTAAATAGTTGGACTCTGTATGGCATATAATTGTAGTATTTAGCACGTTTTTACTGGGATTGTTAATATACACAGAATATATACTACCCTGCATATTCTCTCTCTGTCTCTCTCTCTTCCTTTCCTCACATTATACAAGTGTAGTTTTGATGTGTGTTTCGTTTTGGAGAGCTTACAATCTTGTTGTGATTGGGAGAGGAAACAGATTTTTTAGAGGAATAAAACTATAAATTGTGATAAATATAGTCTGGATCCAGGAATAGGGCAGCTAAGAAGTGAAAGAAAGCACTTGGCATTTGGTGTGTCATTTCAAGCATGTCAGGGATTTCAGCGTGAAGATACAGGGAGAGTGACATTCCAAGGAGAGGGAACTAAGTTAGCAAAAAGTTGGAGTTTAGAAGGCAGGAGGAGGAAGATCAAATTACTAGAAGCACTCAATATTGGAGTGAAAGTGCCAGGTATCAGAAATGTATGTTGTAGATGTAACCTTAAATATCAGACTGAGATGCTTTAAGTTTTTAATTTCATTTTTACCTTAAAAAGAATTTTCATTCTAACAAGAAAACCTAAATTCCTGGAAATAAATGTGTTTTCTCATAACCCATATAGTAACATTTATTTAATAAAGCTATGTACATGGAACTGGGCTAGACATTACAGCAACTACCCTCAAGAGTCTTGCATTGTAGGGATGGAGACAGAGATATAAACAAAGAACTCTAAAACCATGTTCTAAATACCTTTACAGAAGTATGCACAAGAAATAAGCCATCTGGAAAAGGGAAGTATTATTTCTGAAGGGTTTTGGGCAAGACTCATGGGGGAGTTCATTCAACAAGGTAGGCCTTAAATGATGAAAAGAGTTGGCCAAATTTAGAAGTGGGAAGATAGGCTTTCCAAAAAGAGACAGAGGACAAAAGAGGACAAACTCCAGCCTAGTTAAAGATCGAGGGGGAACTTAGGAAATGGCAAAAAGCTCTGTGAAGCCAGTTACAGCAGATGGAAGGGGTGACAGGTGATAAGCTGGAAATGTGGGTTGGAGCCAGGTTGTAAAGGACACTGGAGACAGGGAGGAATCACTGCAGGTTGTAAGCAGGAAAATGGCATAAGAGGATGCAAGGAACTTAAAGAGTGGGTGGAGTCAAGCAGCCCAGTTAACTGCTAGTTAGGGCAGTGGCATTGAGAAGCAGGGAAAGAAGTAGTGAAGGGCTCCTGTGAGCTGGAGCCAGAGTATGCTACTCTGAAGATAATTAGTAGATAAGGGTAAGTCATTTGCCACCTTTTGGGATTTTAGGAGGCAGATGAAGACATTTCCAGAGAAATCGTGTTTAGCTTTTACCCATAAAGTCTCATTTCAAATCATTTACTGATTTTTAAAAATGGGCTTGGTAAGTCTCCCAAAGGACATCAGCTAAAAGCCATTATCATCTTGTGGTTCGTATAAAACTTTCAAACAGGTTTCTTGTTTTCGTCCCTGCCTAGCATTAGCAGTTTTCTCCCATTCTTCACGTAGGAAAAACTTTATAGTTGCTTTTCCTTCGATGGTCAGCTACATAAACCCGTGTTCTTAGCATTTATCCTGGGAATTCTTTTCTCCTTCTCACAATAATTGTCACTGAACTTAGTGTTTTCCCGTATCTGCTTTTATTTAAAATGTATAAGTACCTTGCATCTAGTTCGTATCTTGCATATTAATTCTGCTTTCATTAGCATCTCTCTCAGTTAGGATTAGGGTTGGCTCTGCATTGCACAGACTAAAGTAACAAGGACTTATTTTCTCACATAAAAGCCAGACCTGGGTAATTGAATATTGGACTTGTGCCACTATTCCACAAAGCTCTCAGGGACCCAGTTCCTTCCAGCTCACCTATCAACACCCACTGGGGAGTAGTCCTTGTTTTTATGGTTTGAAATGATGCAGCTACCATATCCCCATTCAAACAACAATAGGAAAGGTTGAAAAGGGGGCAAAGGCCACCTCTAAGTTGTCTTCAAGGAAGGATTCCTCAGGTTTATAATGATGTGATGACTTACCTCTCATTGGCCATAGGAACGACATCTGGTTGCAGGCTATGTAAGATGTAGCTGAATAATCTATTTATTTGTAAGAAAGCAAGAAGGGATATTAGAGGAAATCAAAAGAACAAAAAGATGAAATGTGATGTTTTAGACAGGTAACCACATTAGAGAGCCTGAAAAACCTTTGTTTAGATGCATTTTCCCCTGGGTTAACTCTAAATCTTTTTGTACTTCTAAAAATTAAGGTAATCATTCTGCCCTAAATTCTTCATATTGTCTATGGTTGAGGATCCAATACAATTAATAAATATATTGGCACTTTGAAAATTAATGTAGGCACAAATATAAAGTATTATATTTTAAAGCACCAAGGCAAGCTGCTGAATATAAACTAAAAAATGTTACTGAGGTAATATGTTGGTTTTTACCACAGCCTTATGGTAACTTTATCTGACAAGCAGAAGAATTAGGTATTCATGAAAAATAGCTCATAGAGAGAACACCTCTCTGTTTATGAATTACTTTCAGAAACGTGACAATGCATTTGGTTCTATCAACTTTGTACAGTAAGGATTATCATGGGCGTTTTACAGACAGGAAAACTAAGGCAGAGAGGTTAAGTGAATAGCTCAAAGCCATGTAACTGAGTGGAGGTTTTAGAAACTATGTGTCTGCAAATCTCATACTCATAATCTGTGTTGCTGTTCTAGTTTTTATATGTCACACATCTTGTTGCCCATTTGGTAAAGTCTAGATCTCTAAGATTAGAGTGACAGACTCTCAGTTATCTATCCTTATTTTATTTACGTGGCTCTTTCTCATTCCCCTCCAATATAAACCAAATCCCCCAGTCTGCCAGTCCCTTTCTGCTTACACACATTACTCTGCAAAACCACCTAACTTCCTGCCTCACTAAAACGTTTTCTGTTCTTGGCTTTCTCAACTTCTGCCTCCTTTTTAAGTGTCAACTCAGGTTCCATTTTCTGTGTAAGGCATTCCATGAATACTTCAGGCCACACAGATCTTCCATTTTCCTGAACTTCTGTAACATAGAGAATATATATAGAATGCATATATTACATTTAATTATAGAAGTAAATTATACACTGTATCATATTATTCCATATGTCTTAGCTTTTTCTCCCCAACTAGACCTTATCTAGTTCTTGTATTTCTTAAGTTATTTCAGTAACACAAGGACACTGGTAAGAATATAGCAAGAACTAAAACTAGTTCACATCTAAATTGAGCCAACAATTAATCTATAAGAAACTACTTATAGTTTCCTATCTAGTCTAATTTTCATGACAAATGTGGAAATGGGTTCAAAGAAGCAAAAAGACTGATCCAGTGTCAACAGCTAAGAATGGAATCCTGCTCTACTAAACTTGTGGCTAAGGCTTTATCTTCTACAGCTCTCAATTCAACATTTGACTGAAAGACAAATACTGTGAGTGTGTGTCTCTGCATGTACATGTGTTTAGCTTACTATTGTATGTTGAGAGAAGCCCAGAAAAATAGAGGCATCCCTAAATAATGGTATCCCTTGGGTTAATTTATGTATATCCTGTATTAAAAACTAAGAAGACAAGACCCGATAGAAATTTTATCAATAGAAAAGGTGGATATGTTCTTCTAATTAAGTCAGGATACTAAAGTGAACTGCAGAGATACTTTCTTACGCATATGGTCATGAGATATTTAATTCATATCCATGTTGCCATCCACAGAGCCTAACTTTATGATCGCTTTTCTTCCATATGCAATGTAAATTTGTTTCAGGGTGGGGCAATGTTTTCTGCTTATGCTCATTTTGTAATCTCAGAAGTAACTGAAATAGTGCCAAGGATACAAATATGTTCATAGAAATATATTGTTGGAAGAAAAATAGAAAGTTCTCTTAGGTATCATTTTTTTCTGATCTATGAATTCCTTCTTCAAGTGGATATATAGACTGTTGAGTCTTTTGAATGATGAGTAACTCAAGTATGTAAAGACTGCAAGCGTATTTCCATTTCGTCTTAGGATATTGAATTACTTCCATCAAATAAACTGTTAATGGTTTTGAATATGTATATGTATATATATTTTCCACCTGGATATCAAATATATCCATTATAGCTTAAGCTATCAGTCATCTACCCATCTGTTTATCTCCCTTTATTTGCATGTAAAAAATTGACATATCAAGAGAAAAGTTTTGTCGAATGTTATCACCAATAGGTCAGCAATTTTTGCGTTCTTCTTCTGTGTTCAATACAATATTCAGAACCCACAAGGAAAAGACTAAAAACAAGAAGCTTTGGCCTGTTTTAAAGATAATATTTTATCATTTCTTATGACTACAGATATGTCTTCTACTTTTGAGAATTTTTTGTTTCATATTATCTGTTTGTTAGAAAAAAAATATCTTACACTGTTCGAGTATGTGTTCCTTTTAAGGATCAGGGATCCTGGAATCTCAGATCAGTTGAGCCTTTAGAGACCTTCTAATCCAACCCATTTACTACAGAGTTTATATAACTTACCTGAAGTTACATAGGTAATTAATGCTGGTGTAGGGTCAAGAAGTCAATTCTCCTCATTTTTAGACCTCTCTTTATTTCTTTTTCTCTCCTTTTTTCTACCAATTTCAATTAATAGGTTTTAATTCTCCAAAGAATTATTATAAGAAAAACAATTGTTTATTCAAAAAGTGAGCGATCTTTTCCTCCCTTCTTTTTTTCCCCCTCTAGCTCTCTTCAATCTAATTCCTGTGGGCCTGCGTGTGGTGGCCATCCAAGGAGTGAAGGCCAGCCTCTATGTGGCCATGAATGGTGAAGGCTATCTCTACAGTTCAGTAAGTACACTGTAATGTGTGTGTGTGTGTGTATTTGAGTGTATGTGTGTGAACTACCACTGAGAGGTAATGGAGTAACCATCATGTTGGCCTAGAAATTGGAAGTTGAAGTCGTTTTATATTTTGTGATCTCGTTTTTCAGGATTATTTTGAGGATTTTATAATTTATAGTGTTAAAGTCCATGTCTTGTTGAATTAGTATATTGCAGTTACACTTGATGCAATATCAATTCTTTGCCTCTAGCTTACATTTCGCAGAACATTCTCCTTTTTGAATTTTACCTTTCTGTTTAGTTCAAAGAGTAAGACATTTTTCTTTTCTCCTATTACTTTTCCTTCAAGCATAGAGGATGGCTTAGGAAGGAAAATTCTTCAATTTGTCTGGAAATAGTCTCTGTCCTTTTATGGAGAAAAAAAGCTTTCATAATAGATTGTTGCTTTGTTTGTATTTAGTAAGTCTGAGTTTTATCCAATATGTCATATTCTCAGAATAAGTTTAATTCAAAGGCAATATGAATTTATGGAATGAGCTCTGGATTATGAGCAAGGATATTTGGTTTTACTTGCATTTCATTTACTACCTTGATATCCCTTTGGGCAAATCATCTTCCCTAGTTGGCTTAATTTTACACCTTTCAATTGAGCACGTTGGACACCATGTTGTGTCATGTCTTTTTTCAAATCCCTAACTGACAAAATTAGGTAGCATCAGTGGCTACATTATCAACACTGACATATTTTAAAGTAACTAACACAATTCTGATGCTTGTCTCACTCTCAAGATAATAATTTATGCATTGAAAATGTGGCTGTACTGAATGGTGTGTCTGCGTGTGTGTATTTCTGCTTTGTAAGAGAGTTGGCTATTTGTAGTTCCTGAAAAAAATTCCTTGAAAATCATGATTACAGATTTCCACCCTTACTTTCTATGATCTCGGTAAATAGCACAAGGTTATTTTGGAAGTTCCCATATATCTGCTGGATTCTAAATTAGTTATTGACTAGTTTTCATTAGGCTCTTCGAATATTCAATTAAATCTCTGGCATGTTGGAGCTCAGAAATTGATACCATCAAATACGGTGTTTTTACATGCTGTACAGAAGCAGCAGCCTCAGAGTCTCTCTGAATTCTCTCTGCCTCCTGTGTCTCAATCCTGTCTCTCCCAAAGCACAGGATGAAGTTGTTCTCTGGAGTTCCCTTATCTGCCTAACGAACCTGCCAGAAAAGAAAACAGTTACCTCTGGTCTGTTCCCTGAGTTTTCATTAACTGAACTCATGTCACAGGAGGAAAGACTGAAGTCCATCAATGCACTTAGACAGCCTTTTGTCACAAACCATGGCCTACTCTGCACACTCAAAACACCTGGTCCAAGGTCATTACATGTTCTTTAAGTTCATTGAATTCACCCCCAAATCATTTGCTGTCTCCTAAAATCATCCACACCTCCTCGTCTCCCTTTCTTCTAAAAAGAAGGGTATGTACCCATGTGTACCACATTTTGCAAGGTTGGGTAATCACCCTGTGATTCTCCCCAGTGTATGTTAATACATTTGTGTTTCTTTTCTCCTGTTAATCAACCTTTTGTCTATCAATTTTCACTTAATCTACAGAGGATGAAGGTAAAATTTTCCATTGGCTCCAACAAGTACATTACACTTGCCTATTAGTAATACATGTGTCATTTGTATTAGGATTATTGAAGTTAATATTTTACTCCTGATAATATTCAAATCAAAATATACACTTATATGCTATATGCCTACCTATACATTTTTTCAACAGTTTCTGCTCAAAATGATACTTAAATACATTTTCAGTCAAAATAATGGGCTCTCTTAGAATGTCATAGCTCTAACAATTCTTAATGTCTAGTTATTGTGAGTCCATTGTAAATGTAAGAATTAAAATGGGAAAAAAAGGCAAGAATTTTTTTTTAATATTTCTAGTTAGTCTTACTTTAAAGATTTAATCAGTCATTAAGCAGCTAAATGTAAACTATACTATGTATATTTAAAAGGTCATAATTCAGGTTGTAATTCCACAGAAGCTATAAAGTTCAGTTCATTAGACTAGAGTTGATTCCCAGAGGTCCAGGAAGAAGAAAAACACAAAGTTTGGCAACAATATTGCAAGCAGGAGACAATTGTATAAGAGAAGGAGGCAGTTAGGAGGGATTGCTGTTTTGTGGTTTCATCCTCTGAAACTTTTCAAAGACGCATTCCTTCTGTCCTTCTTGCTTGGATATGAAGTTAAGAGGGGGTGGGATCTTGAGCCACAAGAGGGGGTTATAAGGTACTGTTTTGTAATGGAGCTGATCCCTTTGTAAAACCTATTGGAGTATCTAGATTTTCAATTCCTCTCTCCACTTGAGTAAAACTTGCCTCACACCTAGGATCACAATGCTTTCTGTTGGTGAGTCAAAAATCAGCTGTTAACTTTGGCTTTCCTGAGATGTTTCTGGTATGCATTAAGACTAGAATTTCTTTGAAAAAGCAATTTTCTGTGTCGTGGGCAACACTGTAACTGGGCAACCAGTAAGGGTCATAACTGCAGTTTATGAAGAGAGGAGAGGGCTGAAGCACACTAAGAGGATCTAGATAAGCTAACTTGGATCCAAAAGATTCACAAGCAGTATCATTTATCTAGTGTCATTTACCTGGCTTCTATTTATTTTTAAGGTAGGAATCAATTCCCTTGTTACATTTGATTTCTTTTTCTTCACCAGGAAGCAGGAGGAGGGAGTGGTAAAGATGGAGTGACTGTTAGGCAGCATAGAGGTATAGTTTTAAGAGCTGCTCTGAAATTTTGTATTTTCTTAGGTGAGTTTAATCCGTATATATTTGATGAGATTTTTGATGTATCTTGATACATTTTTACCATAGTAGTTTGCATTTTTTTAAATGTACTTTTGTTTCCGTTTTCTTTTAAAAAAATTCTATTGCTTTATTGATATACTTTTTTCTATTTTATTAAATCCTTCTGCAACTTTGTAAACTTAGGCCATATTTTTATTCCTTTAGTGGTTAGACTTAATTTTTAATTATACATAAATAACGACATACTTTGCTAAATATTTCTAGTGTTACTGTCTTCCTTTCCAACAGCTAATGGACGTTAGGATGTTTTCTTGCTAGTAAATACTGCAACCTTTCTGGCCGCCAATTTGATTATTTGCACTTTAAAATAAAGTCATATGCACAATTATTTTATTGCTAATCATTAAATTAACAAGTATTTTGAATAATTTCTATTCATAGAATTTTTGTCTGTGTGTGTATATATCAAATTTAGTCTCTGAGTTCACTTTTCTTCTAAACTAAATCTTTCATTGTTTTGCCTGTGAGGGCGTGTGAATGGTGAACTCACTTTTGATAGCCATGAAAATGTAGTCCTTTTACTTTCATTCTTGAATTGTAGTTCAGGTAGTTATAAAATTCTCAGTAGACCAATATTTTTCTCAGCATTTGGAGTATAATTTTACACTGGTTTCTGGTATCTACTGTTGACTATGAGAAGTTTGTTATCAGTTTAATATTTTAATAGTCATTTATGCATCCTCTTTGGAGACACGTCTGTTCAATTCCTTTTACTACTTTTTAATTGAGTTGTTCTGTGTTGCTGTTATTGAGTTGTAGTAGTTCTTTATAGATTATGGCTATTAAGCTCTTGCCAGAAAATATGATTTGCAAATATTTTCTCCCTTTCTATATGCTGCCTTCTCACTGTTAGTTGTTTCTGTTGATACCCAGAGTTTTTAAAGTTAGATGTAGTCCCATTTGTCTATTTTTGCTTTTGCTGCCTATTCGTTTGGTGTCATGTCCAAGATATAGTTGCCAAATCCAATGTCATGAAGCTTTTTTCCTATGTTTTATTTTGGGAGTTCTATAGTTCAGGTCTTATGTATAGATTTGTAATCCATTTTGAATTAATTTTACATGTGGCAGAAGGTAAGGGTCCAATTTCATTCTTTTGCATGTAGATATACATTTTTTTCCAACACCACCTATTGAGAGACTAACCTTTCTCCATTGTGTAATCTTGTTGAAGATGATTTGACCACATACTAGAGAGTTTATTTCTGGGGTCTCTATTGTGTTCCATTGGTGTTTATGTCTCTTTGTACCAGTATCATATAGTTTGATTACCATAGTTTTTTATTATGTTTTAAAGTCAGAAAGTGTGAGATAGACAGCTTTATTTGTTAATTTTTTCTTAAGATTATTTTGGCTATTTGGGGTTCCTTGACATTTTATATAAATTTTAGAATAGAGTTTTCTATTACTATAAAAAATGACATTGAGATTTTGATAGGAATTATATTGAATATGTGGATTGTTTTTGGTAGTATGGACATTTGAAGAATATTAGGTTTTTGATTTATAAACATGGGATTTCTTTTGATAATGTTCAGTAGTTTTCAGTATACAAGTTTTTCAGCTCCTTGATTAAACTTAAACTCACAGTGCCTTTTAGAAAGGAAGACCAAAATAATTTTAATGGCATTAAATAACACTTTAAAAAAAATAGAGTAAATAAAAAGTTCTATAAGGCATCTCTTTCTCAAACAAAAGAAGCCTAAGTATGTTGGAAACTTGTTTCTGAAACGCCTTTTTCAATAGTTCAGGAAATACCATTCTGTGTTACAATCTGTTGGGAAACAGATTTTTCTGCAAATTTTACCTTATACACAGACAGTGCCTTTAAAAAATGCTGTTTAACCAGTTTTGATTTAAAATGTAATATTCTTTGATTTTTTTTTTTTTGAGTTTTAAGTTTTTGAAAACTTGTAAGAACAACTAAATTTTCTCAAGTGATCACAGGGCTTAAAGGCACTTCAGTTGGAATGGGGAAGGAGAAGTATATTTTCATTTTATACAAAAAAGACAAAACCCATGTAAGTCCTCTACCATCCTCTGTAAATTTACTCACATCTTTTTATATTTGAGTAATTGGAACTGAATCTCGTATAAATACACCAATGTAGATAAACATCATTTG